GAATTGGCTAAGAATGCCATTATTGTTTAACTTCTTTGCAAGATTGACTCTGGCCTGTTTCTAAGATAAACGGACTATTATTACAACAAGTCATCTGTAAATGTAGCCACTGTTTGCATATGTTATATTTTTAAAAAAGAATCTCTTCGAGGAGCTTGAGTAAGTTGTGGGAAAAGTTAATGGAATACTATTATAATTGGGGTGAGGAGGACAGGAAAACAGAAGTTTTATTCCTGATTTTTGCCTACTTATGTAAAATGAAATTGAGGTTCCATATATGCTTATTTATAAGGAATATAAATGTATAAGGAGTTAAAATATAAAATTATTTATAAGAAGTTTGATCCTGACCAACTCAAGGCTGATTCAGCCTTCCATCTTTTCAAGGTTGGTAAAATGAGGACCCAGATTGTTGGGAGCAATAAGCTGACTCTAAACCGTTTAGAAAGGGCTATAAAGCACTATGAAGTGGAATTTAAGTCCAAGTGCTATTGCTATAAGAGGATATTCTTTACAAAAACATACAAAGATTTTTTGTATAGTAGGAAAGAAGTTGTGTGTAAGCAAAAAGCACTTGCTGTGTTGTTTGTGGTCAACTACTGAAATAAAAAGATTGTTGCACTATATTTCTCTGCTTACACTTGGGCATAAGAAGAGTATGTTGAAACAATAAAAACTGACTTGAGATTTGGAAAAGGCAATCTTAGTGCATACAGCTGTTGGGATTTCAGAATGGCCTTAAGAATCTGTAGAACCTTAACATAAAGGGAGTAATTTTTTTTAATTACTGTATTTTTCAGTGTATAAGGCGCACCCCCCCCCCAAATTGGGTCGAAATGTCTGCGCGTCTTATACAGTGAATGTTGGCAAAGCCCCACCCATCCCCCAGCTCTCACCCTTCAGCCTCTGCCAACAATTTGCCTCCTTGCAGCAAACAGCTGTTGTCGGTTGGATTGGCGTCCCGACAATCAGCTGTTTCAGACTGCAGAGGTCACTATTGCCGCCTCCACATGCCCCATTTTTGGCCCATTCCAATCCCAGCTGCCTGGAACGGGCCAAAAATAGGGCGTACAGAGGCCAAAAATGGGATGCAGAGGCTGAAAAGGGGCATGTAGAGGCCGCAATAGGCAATGGGCTGATCCTACCAATAATCAGCTGCTTGTGCTAATCAGGCTGTGCTGAAGCTGACCAGGCTGTTTGCTGTTTGTTGCAAGGAGGCAAATTGCTGGGAGGCAGAGGCAGAGGCAGATTTTTTTTTCTTGTTTTCCTCCCCAAAAGCTTAGGTGCATCTTATACTTAGGAGCATCTTATAGCCTGAAAAATACAGTATGTTTCTAGCTAGCCCATGTTTTACTACTAAATATTTTAAACTAGAAAAATTCTCAATATGCACAAAAGCTCGGTCTTTGATGGAATTAATTTTTAATTTAAATTAATGAATGTTAAGCAAAAGCCAAATCAAGAGCATGTAGGGTGCATATTGTTGTTATCTTTATAATGGCAATCATGGAAAATGTGAATAAATTTCACAGCAGCCATCTACTAGAAAGCAAGCTGTTCCCCTCATGCTCCCTAAGATGTTATAATAATCCCTTGGTTTTCATTTGTCTTTTTCTAGAAGATGCATACTTCACAATAAAGCACTGGCTACTTAGATTTCTAGGTTTCTAAAAACTATTTTTGTAGCCTGGGCAGTGCCATTCTTGACATTGTTGAAAATAATTATTTTAGGTTGGAGAGTGTTCTTTATGTTTTATGAAACATTTTTTAAAAATTGAGAAAGGAGCCTGAGGAGTGCCAGAGGAAATACTCTCAGATAATTTATTTGCTCTTTCATACAATACTAGCCAACCCATGACCTATTGGGTAAGAAATTTAGAGATATTTCCTTACTTAAACAGAGAAACAAAATGACCAAATGAGCAAAAAAGCAGCGGGAAAAGGAGCGACTTCCAACTTCTTGCTGGTTCCTCCACTGACTTCCTTGTAGGAAGCTGGCAGGGAGAGCTGGAAATGAAAACCATGTGACAACAGCAGTGCAATAGCACTGAAGTGGACACATCTTTGACAAATGTTAATCCCACACAAGTCATAGGTCCCAGATTTTGGACGTATTCTGTGAATTAGCCCAGTGATCCCCAACCTTTTTTACGCCGCGGCCCGGTACCGGCATCAGCTCGGCGCCGCGGCCCGGTACCGGCATCAGCTCGGCGCCGCGGCCCGGTACCGGCATCAGCTCGGCGCCGCCATCTTTTTTTGATGAAAACATGCTTCCGGTGAGCTTTCTACCCGGAAAAGCTCACCAGAAGCACTTTTTCATCAAAAAAAGATGGCGGCGCCCAGCAAGCCAGCGGCCCGGTAGGACTTGTTCCGCGGACCGGTGGTTGGGGACCCCTGAATTAGCCCATTTTTCATATGTTGATTCAAAATTGTTGCCTTCTGATGCGCTCTCCCACTCCTTTGAAGGTTACAAACAGACACAAGAGTTTTAGTAGTATAAAGATAGATGTTGATTACCAGATGGTTTTTACCATTCCTCTGCATTGGGGAAACAGGGGTTACTGAAGTTTCATATCAAAGTTCCAGATAGTTAAATCTGGCTAATTGTAAGAATTTCAAATAGGAAAGCCCTTATTTTATTAATTCAACCAATAGATTTTACAAAATGAAATATTGTAATAATAATTAATCAGCTCTTCAGTTTCACTCTATAATAATTAGTGCTTTAAAATAAATCTCCGTCTCATTCGAGCATATACTTAAGTATCACATTTGTTTAAGGTAAGCCAGCACCCCAGCATTTACATCCTGAGTCTGGCAGGTGACATGGCAGTTGGAAGATAGGGGTGGTTTATTTTTGTTGCTCATTTTTTTGTCCTTCAGCCTTCACCACTGCTAACACTGAAGTCATAAAGGTTAGTCTTGGATGGAGCTGTTAATGAATTTATAAAAATAATACTGAATAAAAAATTGGATGTTTTAGTATTTAACTGGAAATAAAACTTTTGTAAAAGGGGGAATTAGAGCAGCAAACATCCAGTTTGAAGTAGATTTCAAGTTCAAGATAATATCAGTTATTTCTGAAAATTGGATTTATTAGTTGTTTCAGATAATCATAACCTATTGGTTCTTCATGGTATTAACTTTTAAACTCAATCAAGTCAGCTTGGGAACCCTTTGCTCTTTGAAAATATTACCTGTTAAAAGGTACATAGCTCAACTATCAGTTAAACTGATAGATTTATATAGCAAAAATACTGTGAATACAAATCATGTATCTTTTATGTAGATAGAAGCTCTGTAACTTTGATAAATTCAGAAAGGTCAGAAAAAGTACTTGACCTCTGCTGTATTTTTCCAATGAAATTATAATATAGAGTTCTGAAATTTGGACGGTGTATAGCTTGCTATGTATGTTAAGGAGAGATAGTGAAAAGTATCTTGCAGGCATGTAAATCACCACTTGTTTCCAAAATTGGAAGCAGAAAATCTCTTGATACCAGTAGCTAGGAAACAAGCAGCTTGTATTTTGCTTATAGACTTCTGGTTGACCTAAGAAACTCCTTCAGGAAATTAAGATTTTTAAAGTAGAAATAGTTTATTTTAATGTCTCTTTGGGACAGAGATACGCTAATAGGATATTAGCTATGATTACAAGTTTTGCATCTTGCAATTCACTTTCTAGCAGTTGAAAATTGATCAGCCAACCAAATCTGATAACTCAAGTCAAGTACAGATGTGTCATTCTAGTCTAAGGCAGCCATAGATATTTATGTCTTCCTGTTTCTAATTTCTTGCTAATATAAATCTTAATAAATAGAAAAAAGCTGATGCATTTGCATGAAGAATATGTATAATGAAAGTTGTGACTTTTTGCTTTAAGGCAGAAAGGAACCAGTGTCCTGAAGGAATTATCTATGAAGACGATCTACCTGATCGTGCATACAAAGGGATTTAATGCCACTTGGTCAGATACAGATAGCCCTTGACTTATAACCAGTTAACAATCATTCAATTTTGCAATGGATTTGAAAAACACCTACTTACAACTGTTGCAATCACCCCTCTGTGGTCACATGACCACATTTTGTGTGCCTAGCAACCAGCTCACATTTATGACCAATTGCAATGTCCCATGGTCATTTGACTGATTTATTAGAGTTTTTGCTGATTTCTGGTGTTTTTTCTGGCAAAAAAAGGGTGTTTGGAAAAATTGACTTTCTTAACAATCTTACAATGAACAATGATTCGCTTTACAATCTTCATAAAAATGGTTGTAAAATCGAGTTTGGTCACATGATGCCTTACCTTATTGAAATTCAGGAGTCCATTCTGATCATAAGTCAAGGACTTCTTGAAGAAGAAGCAGGAAACACAATTGAATCATTATCAGTACCTGGGGTTATCAAAAGGTGAAAAGGTTGATGTTTTTAACATATAGGTATATCTAGGAAAAATTATTCCGATGATCATATAGTAATTATCCAGCAAAATTACAGCAAACACTTTAATTCCTTAAATCTAGGGCTACAGACTACTGAAGATACTTTAATCATGTTTTAAAATAGAGATGTACATAGACTGCCACATTCTCGTAAGTAAAACAATTTTTTGTGGACAAAGGCTGCATTATACAAGTTGGTATAACTGGACAGAGTTTTTTGGGGTGGGGGGGTTCCTTTGTTTTTTAAGCTGTGACATATGCCAATTTTAGGAGATACATTACAGCTTTCATATGTTTTCCAATCAGAATAATAAGATACTATTCTATTACTTTTTTGTGGTCAAAATGAGACGAGCTGCACTCAAGGTTGCCTCCTCCCCCTTGTTTCCTAGCCATTATTACAGGAAGGAAAAAATATGAAATTCTTACTGCTTAATTTCATATCATACTCATTTAGATTTGGGAAATACTACGAAATATTTTTAGCGCAGGAAAGGTAGCATGTCAATTGAATCCATAAACATCAGATATCAAACTAATTTTTTCCCCCCACCAGGCAATATGCCAGCTCCTGAACAGATCCCTTTGGAAGATGGGCTGCAACCGACCAACCAAGAATCTTCTGCAAATCCTGCCATGGAAACAGAGGCTACTGCCACTACTATTCTAGCTTCTGTAAAAGAACAGGTATTTAAAAAATAATAATGATTGTAGATAGATGTAACTAATAAGTAGATATATTAGGATTTCACATTCGGATAGTTTTGAGCTTTGTTGACATGCCACGTATTTGGGATAAAATATTTGGTTAGTTTCACTGTTTTTTTAATCTCATTTTCAAGCCTTATCAGGTCATCATCATATACTGTAGTGGATAATAACAAAACTATTCATTTAGTGTCCATTCAAAATTACAACCACACTGAAAAAGCTGGCTTGCAACTGGTCCTTGCATTTAGGACCGTTGCAGCATCCCCATAGCCACATATCAAAATTCAGGCACATGGCAATACCAGCATGTATTTACAATGGATGTACCATCCTACGATCCATGTGATCACGATTTACAAACTTCCCAGCCAGCTTCCAACAAGCAAAGTTAACGGGAAGCCAGGTTTACTTAATGATTGTGTGATTCACTGAAGCTATTTGCTTAACAATTGTGGCAAAACTGGTTGGAAAGTTGGCTGTGACTCACTTAACAATGACCTTGCTTAGGAGCAGAAATTCTGGTCCCAGTTGTGGGTTGTAAGTTGAGGACTATTGTATATAGATTTATTTTAAGAATATCAAGTATATTTGTAGATGTTAGTATTTCTGCCAGCATCATATTTGATTTACAGTACTATTTGAGGTATTGGTTAACAGTATTAAAATGAATTGATACATTTGTCTATGAAGGAATAGGAATCTATCCTATAAAAACATCTGTAGAGTTAGAAGGGGAACCTATTTTAGAATAAATTCAGTTGGATACAATTGATATATTGTAATTTTTTAGGGGAGACAATATAAAGTTGGAATTAATCACATCTCTTGGAGAACTAAAAAAAAAGTAATGTGTTTTGAGATCAAGGAAGCTACATAGTATTCATTAAAAAGAGATCCGTGCTTCTTGTTCTTTTTTCTTAGCCCCTTGACTTCAAGGTACCTATTGTTGTTTTTCCCATTTGATTTGTTCTCACCTAATCTTCCTATATGATGGTTGTTGCTACATTTTCAAAATGTATCACCAATTTCCTTTCAGTTGCAAAAGAGTCGTAGCTTCTCAGAAGAGAAATAGCAGTACTCCTTATCTGCTTGACTTAAAATGATTTCTGGGTTCAAAAGATTAATTGAGCAAGTTGCACTACGGCCCATACTGTCCATTTCTGGAAGCTTACAAGAAGTGCAAATGTTTCCTAAAATGGGATGGATAGATCAAACATAATTAGAAATTAGAAAGTCTTCTAGCATACCAAGTTATTTTATTCCTACATGAGAATTTTTGTCTGAATTTTCACAACTTCAGAAAACTATGGGTACAAGCCTTTTCATATTCTGACACACCCTAAGTATCCAATAAAACGTCAACCTAGATATGATTAGATATATAGTTCATTCTGTTCTAAATAGACTAGGATAATTTATAATTCATATTTCTCTCAGAAAAACATTCCCCCATCTCTCCACCCAGCTTATAATTTATTTTGGTTCAATTTATTTAGAAATTCTCCACTGAAATGGGTCACATTCTTGTATGCAACAGAATAACTTTTTTAATCAATCCATTTTTATTACGGTCACAGGCCAGCATTAGAATTACTTTATTTCTTATTAACATGCCATTTGATCCTAGCCAAAAAAATCCAAGAGAGTAATTTGGAATCTTGTTTATTGAGTGTTATATATAAATGTCGTCAGATTAATAGAGGTGCTTTGTATTCTGAACTATGAGAATGATTTTAAAGGTTTCCCTGTTTTCGTGACTATTAAGCAAGGCTATCTTATTTGCAAGTAATCATCTCAAACTACAGGCTTATGAATGAAAGAAATGGCATAAAACATGAAGAGGTCATTTTTGTTTTGCTTGTATTTTAGTGTAAATAAAAGAATACTAAACCACCTAGTAATCATGTAGAAAACATAATAGTTTAAACTCTGGAACATTATTTTCCCTTTGAATAAGTCAGTTTGAACAAGGCTAATGTATATGTTCCCATAAGTTATCACCTGGAGTAGGAGATAGTGGATGATGGTTGATGTGGTACCAAGTGACCCTTGCAATGCTCAGTGCCTAGGGCATAGGGTGGAGAAAAATGAGAAAATCCCAGCTGTAAATACTGCTCTGTTCACTATAGCTGTTGGCTTCCAATCAAAAATTAAAAATTGCTACTAGCAGTCTCATTTTCTGAAAAGATTGTATCATTTTAGTAAGAAGTCAAAAGTACAATATAATATTTAATTAAATCTATTGCTGGCATTCCGCAGCTTATTGCATGTGGAAATTCATTTGCCCTTTCAAAAACATTTCAAATTTTAATTTGTCAAATACACATGGCATTATTGCAATTTTCTGAACTGGAAAAGTATCTAGTTATAAATGTAACAAAAGCTCCTGAGCACATCCTGAATCACATTAAAATGCAATTGGGAAATATTGGAGGGAAATGTAATACAATAATACAATAAAACATAGATATTTTAAAACTAAATAATAATAAATTTAGTCACCAACATCCATAAAATTAGGCTCATGATGCAAATGGAATCCTGCACAAGAACACTTCTTCAATTTAACTTCGATAGTGAGGGTTGCCTTTTCCTTGGGCAGCGGCAGATATATATATGCCTTGCACTGATAGCAGATCTGCTCTGGACCCCAGAGCCTCCAACCCATGAATAACTGCCTCCTCCAAAATAGGTTATATTAATTTCTCTCCACCCATCAAAAAGGTTAATATAATCTATAAGGTTGTGTGTTTGGAGCCAGTTTCCTGGGGAGTTGAAGTTCAGCCATGGGCACTAAGCTAGCTAGGTGAGCTTTTACTTGTCATATACACACCTCTAGGAAGAAAGAACTGCTGAGTCACTAAGGAAAAATGCTGCCAAGAAAAGTAGAGGGCAGTGACCAGGATCCAAAATGACTTGGAAGCATGTATATGTAGGTGATATACTGTTCTTTCTACTTTCTATACGTTAACTAAGAAATACATATTGTAACATCACCATTACTTGTATTTGAAATATACTCATATTCTCATATTTTGGCATACAAATGTGTAGTTAGTTTGGGAAAAGCTGTGCAAGCAATTTTTCCCCCACACATAGAATATCAGAAATTAGAGGGAACATTATATAGGGAGGTGCAAATGGGAGGAGGTAGTTTGCGTGATAATATGGTAGTAGATGGGAAGAAGCCAGAATGGAGTGGGGAATGTTTGTGTTTGTACACTATATACTCTCAACAATATGTAAATACATTTAAATATTGAAAATAAATAAATTCATAATAATATTTATTTTTATGTATTGGTTGTATCTAGTTCCTATCACATTAATATGTTGATGCTACACACACACACACACACACACACACACACACACACACACACACACCAGAGATCATTATAGTTTAGTTACAACCAAGTGACCCTGAGCAGCATACACCAAAGCTAGCGGCCCCTGTTTCTATTTGAGTTTCTATTTGAGTTTGACATCCCTGGTATAGAGCATCAGTTTTTCATGGCAAACTATGTTCTGTGTACAATATTCAAAAGATGTGAGTTGCTATAGCCAATGGTGTCATTAACCTCAGGTGGTCTGGCAGAAACCTATTCCCATGGTCTTGAGAGTCCAAACTTCTACCAGGAGCAAATAACAATGCATGCACAATTGGACAATTTGATAATTTCCCTATAAATCATGCTCATTGAAATTATTGCTAAGATGTACTTATCAATACCCCTTTGGTTTCTCAGGGGCCATCAGGGTATTTTTATGGTAAATGCCAAATGGAAGAACATTCTCTGGCTTATCATATTCTCTTCATTATTTTTTTTCATCAAAAATTATTTCAAAAGAATTTACACAAGCTCCTCAGATTGGCTCCAAGAGAAAAGGCAGATTCCTTTACCTAGGTAAATGATTGAAAGGAAAGGAGAGATGATCTTGATTTTCTAGCCTTCCTTCTCTTCTAGTCACATAAATAGGAGACCAAAAAAAGCCTACAACTACTTTGAGAAAAGAAAAGCAGCAGGCAGCTTGTCCTTTCTGGGAAAGTCTGAAGCAGAACTTGAATGGAGGAAAATACCACTTCAACCTCCATAAATTTTACAGCTTCCCTCAGAATGGTTTTTTCCCATCCTCCTCACTTTCTTCTTATTCCTGCTATTTATAGTGTGTATTTGTGTATGTCTATGTGTTCATTCATTCCACTGAATATACTGTACATTGAAAAGAGAGATTTGAATATATAAAAATAGAAGAATTTGATGCTTTCACTGACATGTCCTAACAATGAAAAAGGTGCAAAGGCATTTCACAAAGCTAATAAATCTGGAAAAAAAAATACATATCAGAATAGCAAGATACACTTATGGTAAAAAAAAAAACCAAGATCAATCAGTTACCATGGTGTGGTGATTGTATATGTATCCTGAAATATAGATTTTCTCTCTGTTATATATGAGCTTAGATTGTACAGTTCAACTAAGGGACTAGGGATCTTATGGAAATACTTAATGGGAACACTGTGAAATTAATTTTAAAACTATTATTTAAAGTTTTCTTTGGCAAATAAGTTTTAATTTGATATACTGGGGAGTGTAAGATGGATTTAAAGAAGAAGCAAGCATATTTTCTTTAGACCAAGTGTGCAATTATAGATTTAAAAGGTGTTTTTTCTATTGTTTTGAAAAGAATCGAATGTGTTACATAGTAATATGGCTTTTCTGAATATTTAGATTTCTGTTGATATTGCCATGTCACTTGTTGATAATGAAATACTCTTTTGTATGGCAGGGAGCCCAGAGTTGAATGTTTTCTAATACAATTATTTACTTTTATTTACCTCAAACTATTGTTTGCTCTTGCCTCTTGAACTTCCTTTTTAATTTGGATGACCCTTTTATTTTGCTGCAAAATAATGAAGGTTGCTATACCACAGCCATTTAAAACTGCTAGAAGTGGGTGAATAATTCCTTATA